TACCTGTGAAAAAGTTTGTTCTACCCCAGGATCAGCTATTATCAAACTGCATCATCCTTCACTAAAACCAATTTACACTTCCTCCCAGCTCATTAACTTTATCCTTTTCTTTCTCCTTCTGCTGAGGTTCAGGGTTACGAAAGATCTTGGCCTTCCTTATTTCTAAAATGGCAATTCCTTCTTCGGTGCCTGCCATTTCTCTCAGGAAAGTGACATCAGAATTAAACAGAAAGACCCTTTCTCTAAGGGCTAGGCTGTAAATGAGAGAAGTGAGGTCAAAAAACAAAACCATAAACTATTCTCAGGGAAACAAATCAGTCCTCTGCTATGCACAAACGCTCAGCTGAATGTACAGGAGCTTCACTCAGGGGTAAAGCTGGAAATACAGCAGACCTGGAAAAGGCATTCACAGGAACAAAAGGACTAATATAAACTGAAATTCATCTGTGCTCTGGAACATCCATTCTTTAAGCCCCTAACAACTCTTGCTTTCATCAAAGCCCATCCATCCTGCATCATTGTGCATTTCCTTCTTAATGGCTCATCCTGAACTCATCTTTCCTTCAGTTCCCTTGACCCCTTGCTGCCAGCTTTCTGTCTCATCAGGGACATGCCTAGCTGATGTGTTGGAGGCAGGACTGGCAGTAAATGCTAGTGGGAGAGAAAATTTTGGTCTAAACTGCTTGCCTCCTTTTTTCTTGCCAGTTCTACCCAAGAAACAATGAGGAATCTGCTGTTTTTTCTGAGAGTTTCAGTTGAGGACTCTTAGAACACTTGTTATATTTAAATGAAAGGGAGGGAAAAGAAACAAAGAAGGTTACGAAGGTATGTTATCTTCATAACAGAGAGGTTTAGCCAAAGTTCAGATCCCTGGAAGAGGAAATCTAGCTGTATGATAGGTAGAGAGAAGTTCCTATGATGTTGAAGATGTACATGCAGGAAGAAAGGTAGAAAAAAACGGTGCTTACAGGCAATATAGATCAAGGGAACTTAAAAGCATCTGTAATTACTAGAATCTGATACAGTACTCCTGAGGGTCTTTACCAGGATTAATTTCTTTTATTACCCAGAGATGTCAGGTCTTCCCCTGTGTGCATTCATTTTGGACTTTGAGAGACTCAGGAGTTCCTGAGTCATGTTGTGACCAACGTGAGATTCATGTCAAAGCCCCATGGCAAGTCCCTGAAGGAAGAAAGAGGAATGAGTCAGACATGACGAACAACTCTTTACACCTCTGAAGCAGCTCGCTCTCTCTCAGAGAGCAAGGCAGCCCCAATGTGTTCTCAAGGTCTTATCACAGAAGTGAATTCACAGGCGACGTTGCAGCTTGCACAATGCTTACTAAATACAGAGAAGTGCAACATAATTTACGGGAGTGGTGGCTGTGCAGCTGCATGTTGCTTCTTGAAGCCTGCAACAAAAAGGCAGACTGAAGGAGCTGGGGAAAGTTCTAGACCAGACTTAAACAATATATGGCTTTGCAGGACACACTTGGCTGATGAAGCAATTTGTTTGGCCTGCCAGATGGTCAGGAGACACCACGATGTTTGGATCATTGGGTGCCTGAGAGAGGTTCTCATGCCTTCCACCAGCTTGCCAGCTAGTGCAGGCGCGGCGTCCCCCCAGCCAGCACATATGCACCTCTGAGCTGCGCAGCTGCCAAAACAAATGGGGTGTCACTGTCAATGGAGAGGCAGAGGAGGGGGAAGGCAGATGAGAAGACAAGGAGGATGGAAGACCAGAGGCAGTGATAGAGGCAGTTCTGGGTAAGGTATGACGAAAGGTGCAGTTTGAATTTGCTAAGCCTACCCACCTATCTGCTGTAGTGAGGCGTTCTAGGCCAAAATCCTATCGTATGAGGAAAACAGGGCTGAGTCACCAAATTCATTCCTCTGCTGTTTCATGCATCGCATCATGTAATGCCTGACAAAGTCTGATTTGTTTAGTTTCATCTCTGGTGTTCCCATAGAAAAGCTCTTCCAGGCTCTCCCTTTCTAATAGGTAGAGTCATAGTTTTCTGCTGTTTATTTATAGCTAATTTGCCCTTACACTTAAATCTTCCCTTATCTCTCAAAGGTCTTCACCCTGCCTGTTGATGCATCGACAGACAACAGTCATATCCACTCTGTCTTCACTTTGCAGGCCGTACAGTCTGAGCCAACAGGCAGTTCAGCCCTTCTAGGAAAGCTGAGTTGCACACACTGCATAATAGGAGTCTTTCAAATGATACCTGAAAAAAACAGGTCTTTCAACTCTGTGGACTTTCTGGTATCTTTCATTCAGAGTATTTAACCAGTGTCAATCCTTCCTGGCTTCTTTTGTAGCAAACTGTGTTCTTTGCAGCTCTCTTTGCTGGAAGGATAAGAGATTTCAAGCCCACAAATCAGTGAGACTTCCATATGCTTGGAGTTGGGCATGTGCATAACTGTTTTTCTGGATCAAGATTAGAGTTCTCACCACTTGACAAGATTCAGCTTGTAGTTTGTGAAGTGCTGCCAGTTTCTCTGGAATTAAAGATTTATACAAAATATCAATTTAAAAAAAAAGGCGATTCCCTGTTCCAGGTGTGTGTGCATGTTTGTACTGCATTAATTAAACGCTGGTTGGGAAACAAGAATGACGCTCTGCAACAATATTACTTGTATCACAGTAATCTCTTTATGCCATGTGAGAGCTGATCCTTGTTCCCAAAGAGCTGTCAACAGTCTATAGACAAAACCAAGATGGAAAGAGACAAATAAAGGTGCAGAGATGATTTTCCAGTGTCAGGAAGTGGAAGAAATAGAAGCAGCATCTCTCAATCCCTGAACGTAGCAAGTATTCACTTTACTCTGCTTTCACACTCTGTGGTGCTTTTTCTGGGGGTAAAATGTTGTACAAACAATTACAGAGGAACTTAAATGCAACACTAACAATTTTTCATGGCCTCTGTATTGCTTCTTTTCAGCCTGCAAAGATCGACACCAGGTTTTGTTTGTATCGATCCGTCAGAAATGTCGGGACAGGAATTCCTTTTTTATGTTGGCTGGCCTCTAGGAGTACTGGAGGACTGACGGGACTCCGAGATGACAAGTGCAAACCCAAGCTGCAGTTTTTCTCAGCAAAATACAAGTGCGGTGAGGAAGGAAGACCGCGTGCCCTTCCGCAGGGCTGAGCAGTAGAAGAGGAGGAGAAACACGGGTAAGCAGTCACTG